GAAGACATGGAGACTGAGATTATGTTGGACGGCTGCATCAGATTTTAAGTTAATATGCGGCTAATCTGAATGATGCTTCTTTCTTGTGTCTTTGGGTTTTCTAAACAACACTGAGATTGAATAAGACCCTGAAGCACCGTGAATTTATTTGCGTCATTTATTGTATGATTTGCCCCTGTTGAGCAACTCTTGTCCAGCTGAATTGTAGAAGCAACAGAGTCTTTCTTCTGGAAAAACTTGAAGTGCTTTTTCTTCTTTTTCAGGCACACTTCCTGCAGATCTTTGTTCTGTGCTGTGAGCTTTGTCATCTCTTGGAAAAGCTCTTCATGCTGCACCTCATTTTTTGTTTGTTGTACTTTGTCATGGACGGCCAGTAACTCTTGATGTCTGCTCTGCAGATTGTGAAGCGTACACGTGATGTCTTTATATGTTTTTTCCTTTTTCTGATCTGTAATATTTCCTAAAGTAATGTTTGTGTTTTTGTATTTCAATTGCAATTGTATTTGTTTATTTTTAATCATTTTAAATCCAGATATGTATAAAATGCATGCTCTACATTAATATAAATAATGCAAGCTATGTCTCAGCCATTGGAAGTATGAAAAATAAAAAAGGCTGAAGCTCACCAAAACCTTCCAGCTATGCGATAAGATGTGGCGCCGTATCTTTAACGTTGGTCCCCAAGGAAACGGTAGTCGCTTTCAGACACAAAATGTAAAATGTCTGAAGAATGAATAACTAAAAAGAGCTTCTGTTTTAAAAAACAAAAGATATACGTACGGGTTTATTCTGTTCCTTTTCAGTTAATCAATGCCTTGAAAATTCAGTCAAGACTGTGAAACCCATGCCCAGACTAAATCAATCAAAACATCAAACACCTCTTAATCCTTGTGTGCAACCGATTCACAGATGATTGAAAAGGTGCAGTCACCCCTCACTAGGAATAATCACATGAAATATTACCGTGCCTTCCTTGTACCCCACAGAGTCGTAATATGTTAATGTTATGAGCAGGGATAGCTTTCATTTACTGAACAATAGGGTAACCAAAATGAAAATGTTCCTTTATTCAAAGCTGAATTAATTATTTAAGTGGTAATAAAGCACAAAATGCTGTGAGACGAGCAGAAATAGTAAATTAGCAAATTTAGATTCACATTTAGAGTTTAGCCATACATGGTCTCTTATAGTTGTATAAAACTGAAGTAATTTGACTAAAAAGTAACAGTTGATGGAAACATGACAAACTTCATGGGCAGCTAGACATTTTAATAGCATTAACGTTTATCGATAAAAGCAAGAGAGAGTCCAACATTTGAAGAGCAAAATGGCATTCCACTATGACCTGCATTTTTCTAATACTTGTTTGGTTTTTTGATTATTATCTTGCAATTTTCTCAATCACCAGTAACCCAGTTAGTAAGCCTGGTTGTAACTGGCTAACTGTAACTGGGTTCGCTTGCGACAAGTTGCATTTATAAATATTTGTAAAAAATTTGGTTGTATGACTAAGTCTAATTGTGTTCAGTAAATGCCCACTTAGTTAGATCTGAATGCTTTTACCGTAAAAATCCTGCTTTCCTTTCTTTTCTTTTTTTTCCTGCCCCCTTGCCTCTTCCTCCCATCTGAGTCTGATGTCTTTTCAATGTGTTCGCTCATGTGTGCAGAGGGCCTCCAGTGCCAAGCACTTCTCTAGCCCGGTTGTCCAGGCCAGGCACAATAGGGTCTGATTCCCCAGCCCCTCTGTCCTCCTGTGGTCTAAAGAAGTCTCTCTGCAGGAGGGGACGAGGACCACCTCAGTGGCCCTCTGAGTATTTTGACAAACTTCCACACTCCTGCTCCTCTCTTTCAGTACACTCAAAGGTCTCAGTATAGTGACTTGCATGAGTCATTGGTTTAGCTTCCCTTTGATTTCTTTGCTCTCTTAGTCTCCACATCGTTTACAGGATCCAGTATACTATTGTTAAAACGGAGCCTAATCTCCATTAGGAAATTGAGCAGCTGAAGTAGAAGACATAAAGACAGAGTGACATTACATGAGAGTGATAGACAATAATGAGGGAATAGGGCACAACATTGAGTCACAACACAATTGATAGTGATAAACAATAAAAATGATGTTCATGCATGGGAGTGTCTCTCTGACCCTGTGTAAGTATGGACAGAACTGAATCTCTCATTTTCTGCCTACTCACGTAGTTGCCGGCCGCTACAACTTCAATTTATTAATTATTATATTTTTTTTATTATTATTTATTAATCTAATACAATTATATTTATATAGCACAAGGTGCTTTATATTGTAAAGTAAAAACCGTAGAATAAAACAGAGAAAACCCCAACAATCCAATGACCCTCTAAGAGCAAGCACTTGGCGACAGTGAGGAGGAAAAACCCCTTTTAACAGTTTTAACAGGAGGAAACCTCCTGCAGAACCAGGCTCAGGGAGGGGCAGCCGTCTGCCGTGATTGGTTGGGGGTGCCAAGAGGGAGGCAGGACAAAAGACTAATTTATTTGACTTCCACGGGTTTCTCTTCTTGAGCAATGAAATAAAAGTCCTCACCTTGTATTTCTTGTTCATGTGCATGATAATATGCTAACAAAATTACAATACCCTTCGTAAGCTTGCTAAACATTAGCATTGTCATAGCAATCATTTAGCAGGGAGAGATTAGTGCAGCTCAAACTGCACTGAACTAATAAATGAAAGTAGAATGAGAGTAGATTTTTTTTATTCTAATCTTGTGACCTGATAATAAAGTAGCATTGCTGAATTGTTTTCATGTGTGATTAAAAATGGAATCCAAAACATATTTTTGTAAAAGTACTGTAGCTGGCATAAACAGGGAGTCAGGGAGAGAGAAAAGGAAGCAGAGGCACGACAGATGGATTTTAATTATGTAGACTTGCTTGGCAGGAAGCTCAAAGATGCTACAGATTTTAATAACAACATCAATGAATTAAATATACTATTTTTTCCCCTTTATAAAAGTGCCAAACACCTCTTTTTTTCTTCTTCCCTGGAAATCAAATACTGCTCTTTTGTCACTGATGTCTCAAAGTTACATACAAGGTGTCCTTCAGACCAGCAAATAGTCACTATACATTACATTTAAATGCTATTGTGCAGTTACACACTTTTGGTGCTCAGCACAGAGCTCCCAGAAGTGAACCTACTTGCTTCACTATCTGTGAGATACCAGTGGCATCTAATGAGCATCACAGTGTTCAACTCACTGGGATATTAACACAGTATAAACATACGCAGAGGTGCATTTTTTCACCAGCCCGTGTCATACGATGAACTTTAGAATGCAGGCAACAGCATGCAAGCAGACACACACACAGTAAGGCAAACTGACCCTGGGGTCCAGAGGAGGTAGCCTCATCTCCATGCTCTTGAGCCACTGTCTCAGTGCTCTGATTTGACCCCTGAATTCACACTGCCATTGGCTCATGTCCTCTATTTCCCTGCTGAATCAGAGAAGAACAGGAGAAAACGTTGCATTGATCACATTTTAGTCAAATACTATTACCACTGTAATTTAGAATCATGTACATAAGGATTGTACTAAATGAACTAAATGATTGCAAACACGGCACTCAAACAGCTAACATCATTAATATTCATAAGTAAATACAGTTATTCATTGGTAATATTTAAATATTCGTATACAGACCTGCCAGATCTTTTTTTTTTCTTTTTTTTTGCAGTTTTATGACTACTTTTACTGGTGTGTGTGAACTGATGGCCTGTCTTGGTTGGTTATACTTTTTCAACTTTCCAAAATAGATCATTAGGGAGGCATGTGCTCTCTTTGTCTGCTGGGCTGGAACTTTGGTTTTCTTGTTTAACTATGTTCCAATCAGATGCTTTACACTTTGTGCTTACTACACAATTCAAGACCCTGTCTTTGTGTCTGTGACAAATGGAAATGCACTGGTCCACAAAGCTGCTACAAATGACTGTTGTCACAGGCTGTTGGTGGCCGCTGTCAATCTGGCAGTCATTCTTTTTTCTTTTAATGTGCCTAGATTGTTATCTGTTGTGGTCCAGAGTATTTCATTCATTCCTTTTGCTTTTAAATTCGTTTACAGTAGCATACCCATAGCTCTGATCCTGTGAAGTAGCTCCTGGTGATCCAAACAAGTAGCAGCCTTTATCCTGCAAGAAACCAGTGGGTAAAATATACAAAATGATCCCTGTTCCAGTCTCTCTGCTTTAGCTGAGACTGTTAATGGAGCAATTCATTATTTTATAGCATTCTGTATACAGTGGGTTTTATTTCTCTCTGTGTGCTTACCTCCCGCTCATCAAACACAGGGAGAGTTGGGGTCAATTCAGAGTAGTCAAGGGAGCTAAGTGAAGAATTCAGGGTGGTGAATGCCCCGGAGCTTCTGTTGGCAGGCTCTTCCATCAAACCCACTGGCTAATGTTGGCACACAGAGCAAACATCTGTATGCATGTAGTGTGAAGGACTTTGGGTGTAAACAAACATGCATACCCTGAATTCAGAAACCCCATTCTGGGGTCTTTTCACTCTGATTTATGAAAAGCTAGAAAAATAGAAATTGTATAGAAAATTGACTGTAATTAGTCGTGAAATGCCTAATGACAGAAACTCACTTATGTGATCAACAGAATAAACAGTGGGTTTAGGGCAGAGCAGGAGTGGGACCTGTGGCGCTTTCACCTGACTGAGCTGCTTCCTTGCAGAAAGTAGGTCTGTCTAACACTGCCCTCATGTGGTTGACTGTTATTTATTTTTTTTCTTCTCTTCTATCAGTGATAAGGTACTTGTTTCAGGTAATGGTATCATATCACATAGGTAATAGTATTATATCACATCTACAGGCGTATTAAAGCAATTGTTCTATATAGAATACATACTTATTTAATCAAATATTAACGTAGTATTTATATTAATGTAAACTGAGGCAGAAGCAGTGAAAAAGTACTCTTAAAAAACTGGGTACTGATATACAAATGACAAGAATGCTTCTTCAGAGCACTTTTATTTACAACATAGTGTTAAGTTCACATACAAGAGGTTTTTTCTGCCATGTCGCTGAAGCAACATCTGCCCCATAACAAAATCCAACCAGTTAGTTTGTCGTTTTATACATTGCTGAAACTTAAATTGGCACACTTAACACTTACTGAAGTTGCTTTTATTTTACACCAACATTTTTCCCCCCAATATCCTTTAAAAAGTTAGTAAAACATGCAAGACATTCATAATATCAAAACCATCATGAAAACAAAAAGATTTACAGCAGTAAAACTTTAAAGATGCATAACAGAAATAGGTCATTTGAGAAAATAACTAAGCACAATTATTCTTTGTGCTGTCTTTGAATCTGCAAAAAAGGAAATTTGCAGCAAAAAAAAAAAAAAAAAAAAGCAAAAGAAAGGAATTAATTTGAAAAAACATAAATTCATGCAATGTGGTGCTGAATCAATATCTCAGTTCTCTAAATTACTTTCATAGGCACTTCAGTTGAACTGGATATGTAGTCAGGAATAGCAAAAAAAAAGTCTAGATGTATTGTCTCGATTGAAATGTACACATAAATGTTTTTATTCTGAGTGGCTTTTCTCTAAAAATGCCAGGATATAGCATAAATATCAGTATTAGCATTCAAGTAATAAATACATGGCAAATGGTAATAAATGAAGTGTTCCTAGAAAGGCTTCCCAAGATGATGTTGACTCAGCCTCAGCTTCCTTCAACAGTGATGTACAATGGAAGAAAGGACATACTCAATGGTATCTAGAAGCAAAAGGAAAAAAACTATGTAATCAAAATAAACCAAACAATGCAGCGAGAAATTAAAAAGAAAGCAATGAAATGAATACTGCAAAACAAATCTTGATGAAACAAAGCTTAATCTTTGAAAAACAATGATGCAATTATGCTCTGTACCTGTGTTACAGCATGAGGCTGGCATGGACTCACAGATCCATCCAAGGTTAGAAGATTGTTTTCTCCAGCCAGTTGAGTACATGTGACCAGATGTTGGATTCTGAGTGACTGAGGCAGCTGTGAAAAAACAAGGAAGATGGTGAAAAACAACAATAATGAGAATAAACAGAGAAAGTTGAAATGACACCAAAGGCAGTGTTTGGGACTGGCTATTAGTTGTGATCAAAACAAACAGAAGAAAATGGGCAACGAAAGAAAAACAAATAGAAATAATAAATTCAACTTACAAGAATCAAAATAACAGGAGCAGGTCTGTGGAGGGGATCGGGATCGAGTCTGACATCATCTTGGGATTTAGTGGGAGCACTTGAGTGATGAGGGTTATGAGCAGTGTGTAAAACAATGGTGCAGTTAACTCAAAAGATGAAAACACATACTGAATATAAATGGGTGTAAAAGCAAAGTAATGACAGATCTAAAACTGATTTCAGAACAGTGTACATGGATTTAATTGTGGAACTTGTTGCATTCCTATAGTGTCTCTTTGTGTAGTGTCGCAGATGTATTCTGTGCTGCAAGTTACTGGGTGCATAATGCAGTAACCCAGACAATTTGTAACATTAAAAAATTAACACATACTCTGTGCATACTCTTTACAAACATTCAGGAATTTTAAATGCATCCAAATATTTTAGTTAAAAACATTAGAATTATGTTAACATTTGGTATCTCTTTACCAGTACTGCTGAAAAAGATAAAAAATAAACAAAATTTCTAAGGAAACATGAAATATTCAAGAAATATTTCTGTTTGATATACAGGAAGTATATATTAGTTTCAGAAAGTATAAAGTATACATCTTTTGAATTGTGTTATATAAAAACTATAAACTCAAACAGCAGAAAAGGCATGCTTTGCTTTGAAAAATATAAACTCACTTTGTCATCTGTACCAGAAGATATGAATATTTTATATATTTTGCAATGCCTGGTTATGTTTCTACATCTAGAGCGCATGTTTAGACTGATGTTATGTGAAAAAGTAATAACCTAGACAATTCTTGTTTTGGCCACATGCAGGGAAGAACAAATAAATTATATTTTCTGTTACTTTAACTATTTATTTCCTGTTAGAAATGCAACTGTAAAGTGCATTAGTACTGCTGGTTTCTAGTCAATCTATAAAATCTAGAATCTGCGGCTGTAGCCAGAAGAAGATGTAAAGGAGGAAGATGAGAAGTTCATGCTAAAGCCAGAGCCAGCATCAATACTGCCTCTCCTGGAGCCTGATCGGGATCCGGTTCTTGAGCCACTCCGGGAGCCATAAGCCGATCCAGAGCCACTAGCATTGTAGGGACTGTAGAGGCCTTTGCTAGACTGGGAAGAGGCTTCCAGAAGCCTTAAGCCGGAGCCTTCCTCAACCATACTTTTGTCCATGGCATCTTTGAAGGAGATTTTCAGTTTGGTTTTTGGGCAGGTCAGATATTTAGAATAGGCACCGACATCCCTCAGTTTCTGGGCAGTGCGAGCATCGATCGTACCCTTCCTAATGGATTCATCTATTGACACCCTGCCCTCAACATCAGGCTCAATGAGTCCACCAGTTAGATATTGGACCTCAAGGAAACGCTGACCAGCCTCATAATACAGCCAGCCCTTTTTCAACGCCTGGGAGGCAGACATCTTCACTTTAGTTCTGGGGTCTTCAAATCCATTGAATGCTTTTTGAGCCAGGTTCAGACGATCAACCATGATTTTGTCCACAAGACCTTTTTCTGTGGCCTCTGCAATTGAGTATCTCTCTCCACTTGTGGGGTCAATTATTCCACCTGTACATGCCTGGGCCTCCAACAGTCTTTGACCAGTGATGTTATCTACCAGATTTCTGTGGATTGCCTCAGTGACAGACACTTTTTCCAATGTGTCTATGTCTAATATTCCTGCTACAGGGCCAGTCTCCTCTGTTGGGTCATTCCATATGACTGCAGGTGGTTTAATTGATGGTAGGGGGCTCATTGAAGAGGAGTAAGTGGAACCAGTGGTAGAACCAAATGAGGATGATCGTGAACGGAAGCCTCCCATGTTTCCAGAAAGCAAGTCAGCAAACTCTGTGATGGACAGGTTTCCAGCTCGGTATGTTTCAAGAGCCTTCTGGTCAATAAAGCCACGTGCAATAGCGTCATCAACATCATACTGTCTTCCTGACTTCCTGTCAATAATGACGGATTTTACAGTGCCATCAGAAGAAGTCATTGTGATTTCTTCCCATTCACACTCCTGCTCAGCAAGCTCCAGGTAGGTTTGGTGGTCAATGAGCCCCTTGCGGTAGGCCTCATACACAGTCATTTCTTTGCCAGTCTCTGGATCTACAATGACAACTCTGCGTTTACGTACTGAGGATTTGGAAGAGGTCTTTCTTTCCCGCTTCTTCTCTTTGAGTAGCAGAAGCACCAGGCCGGTGTCAGGATCAGTGATACACCTCTCCATCAGCTGGAGGTAGGTTAGGTTTTCCTCAGTGTTGGGATCAAAAAAGCCTTTGGTATCATCAGATGGATCTGTCAGTATCTCATTCATTTCCTCATCGAAGAAGCCACGATTGTAAGCCACCTCAACTGGCAGACGGTGACTTTCCTCCGGGTCAATTATTCCGCCAGTGGCAATCTGAGCTTCGAGTAGACGGATACCATGATCTTTTAGGATAAGCCCTTTCTTCATGGCCTGGAACAAAGAGATTGTCTTGCCTGTATAAGGATCTCTATATCCTGTTACTGCACGCTCAGCAGAGAGAAGCTTGTCTTTGAATTCTGGGCCTACTATTCCCATCTTTACTGCTTCATTGACAGTCAGTTTGAGGTTTTTGATTGGATCGATAACATATCCTGTGGCTGCCTGGGACTCAAGGAGTTCAAATGCAGTGCCTGGCCTAATCATGTTCTTCTTCATAGCCTGGTAAATTGACAGCCGTTCCTTTGTGGACTCCAAAAATACACCAGCAATACAGCCTGTGCCCTGCAGGTACCTTGATAGCCTATTACTAATCTCCTCTACTGAAACAAGACCTTCATTCAGGTCAGTGACGGTCTGCTGATCAATGATTTGTGAGCGAATCAACTCCTCAATTGTGATTTGTTTTCTCAGACCCTTGAATGTCAGCCGCTGGTCTCCCAATGAAAGCAGGCGCAATCCACCATCCAACTTGCATCGTTTGAGTAGCTGTGCATAAGACAGTTTCTCATCAGTGACAGGATCAATGAATCCTTTCACATCATCATTCAGTTTCTCATTGGTTTCCTTGTTGATATAGCCTCTTTGCATAGCGACATCTGTTGGCAGGTGGAACTGGAATTCAGGATCAATAATACCACCAGTGGCAGTTTGTGCCTCCAACATTTTGAGAGCATAATCCTCTGGAACGAGATCCTTTTTCATGGCCTGGAAAAGTGCTATGATTTTTCCACTGTAGGGATCTTTGTATCCTGTGACAGCTCTTTCAGCTGAAAGAAGTTTATCATGGATCTCAGGGCCAACAACACCCTTACGGACAGCTTCATCAACAGTGAGCGTTTCGTTCTTCAGTGGATCAACAATGAATCCTGTAGCAGCTTGGGCTTCTAGGAGGGTGAGGCCTATTTCTGGTTTAAGAAAACCTCTCTTCATTGCTTGGTATATGCTTAGCTTGGAGGTCGAGTCTGTTGTGACGCCTGCGACACAGCCTGTTCCATAAAGATACTGCTTTACACTTGTCAACTCCATTATGTTACGGATGTCTCTCTTGCCCTGTTTAAGAAGGTTGTATGTTTCCAAATCAATGATGCGAGCATTGTAGAGTTCCTCAATAGTTATCCTTCTCCTTATAGTCATATATGACAGTGGACTATCATTTCTGATGATCTCTCTTTGCTCCATGATCTCAATAATGATGATGATCATCCGCTCTTTAGTGATTTTACCAGAGCGATATTCATCTAGGAGCTTCTGCCTCTCTTGCTCTGGAAGCAAATTTGAGTTCATGATATCCCAGAGATTCATGGGTTTATCAGCAAGCCCCTCAATAGGAATGTCAAGCTGGGTACTGGACAGCTCACTCTGTGTTTGCTCCTCTGTGTAGAGGTATGTCTTCTCTACAACAGTTGGAGACTGTGGCTTGGAGAGTGAGAGCATGTACAGGCCTGTGTCTTTATCTTTTTGGCATTTGTCTTTAAGTTGTCTGTAGGTTATAGTGTCATCAGTTTCTGGGTCAGAGAAAACTTTGTTTTCATCACATGGTTCAGAGAGGGTCTTGGCAATATCTCTGCTCAAAATGTTCTTCTGATATGCAACATCAGTGGGGACACGATGGCTTTTTACAGGGTCAATAATTCCTCCACTCACAATCTGGGCCTCCAATAGGGGCATCGCATGTTCCTTTAAGATTAGATCTTTCTGCATTGCTTCAAAGAGGGAGATTTTGTGGCCTGTGAATGGATCTTTGTAACCAGTGACAGCTTTTTCTGCAGAGAGGAGTTTTTCATGTAACTCTGGACCAACAACTCCTGACTTTACTGCTTCATCTACTGACAGGCATTGGTTTCTTACAGGATCTACAATGAACCCACTTGCAGCCTGAGCCTCGAGAAGTGAAAGGCCAGTGTTATGGCGGAGAAGCTTTTTCTTCATAGCTTGATAAATGCTGAGTTTCTCTTTTGTTGGTTCCAGGTAGAGTCCAGCAATGCTACTAGAGCCCTGGAGGTATTTACTGACATTGGGATTTTCACTGACTTTCTTGGGTGTAGTTTTGCCTTGTTGAAGCAGGTCAAAGGTTGGTTTGTCAATGATTTTAGACTCATACAGAGAGTCTGCTGGAACAGGAGCTCTGAGTCCCTTGAAGCTGGACTGTTCTTGTTTCTTGGCTTCTTTCTCATCTACAATTGTGATGATAATCTTAATTATCTTTTCAATTGTAATTTTTCCTGACCTAAACTGTCTGAGCAGGTCAAGTCTCTCTTCCTCAGTGAGGTATTCAGAGTAGATAATTTCCCACAGGGTCATTTTCCTGCCCTTAAATGGTCCAGAGTTAACTTCTACAGTAGCCTGAGTCATAGCCTCTTTGGTCTGGGCTTCGGTGTATGCTGGTTGTTCCTTAGCATTGATTGCTTCATCAGAGAGAGGGAGGACCCGCAGACCAGTTTTCTTGTCAGTGACACATCTGTCAAAGAGCTGAGAGTATGTGAGATTTTCTTTTGTGTTGGGGTCAAAGAAGCATTTAGTTTCATCATTTGGATTACTCAGAGCCTGCTTCATTTCATCATCAAAGTAGTTTCTCTTGCAAGCCACATCATGAGGAATGCGATGGCTCTTTACTGGATCTATGATCCCACCAGTTGTCATTTGGGCATCGAGTAAGCGGAGTCCTTGTTCTTTAGGTATGAGATCTTTTTTCATTGCTTGGAATAGAGATACAGCTTTTCCAGTGTATGGATCTCTGTAGCCTGTAACAGCTCTTTCTGCAGACAGAAGCTTTTCATGCAGCTCAGGACCAACAACACCTGCTTTGACAGCTTCATCAACAGTATACTTCTGATTGTGAACTGGGTCAACCAAGTAGCCTGTACCTGCTTGGGCTTCAAGCAAGTTCAAGGCAGGCCCGGGCCTCATCATGTCCTTCTTCATGGCTTGATAGAAGGACATTGTCTCCTTAGAGGAGTCAATGACTACACCCGCAATACAGTTCGTGCCCTTCAATGCTTTGTGGACAGGCTCCATTTGAGATACCTCACTGACAGTCATGTTGCCATTATGCAATTTGTTGTACAGATCTTTATCAATGATTTTGGATTCCAGAAGGTCAGTAGCAGGCACGGGTGCTCTCAGACCATCAAAGGTAATTTCATTTTTCTTCTCTTTTTCCTCAGCAACAGTGATAACAATCTTAATGATCTTTTCAATTGTGATTTTGCCTGTCTTGTACTGACGGAGGAGGTCCTTCTTCTGGTCTTCTGTAAAGTATTCTGAGTTGATTATCTCCCAGATCGTGACAGTCTTTCCCTTGAATCTACCAAATGGTACAGACACAGTTGTTTTGCCGAATACATCTTTGGTCTCTTCCTCTGTATATATACTAGAGCACTGTGCAGCTTTGTCTGTGATTGGCAGGAGTAACAGACTGGTCTCAGGGTCAGTAGTGCATCTTGCCATTAACTCAGAATATGTCAAAGGTTCCTGAGTGCTGGGGTCAAAATATCCCTTTGTGTCATCTGATGGGTTCTCCATGATCTTATTCATTTCTGCATCATAGTGTCCTTGTTTATAGGCTGTTTCAGTGGGCACACGGTGACTGTTGATTGGATCAATGATGCCACCAGTAGCAAGCTGAGCCTCAAGGACTCTGATTGCATGATCGTGTTCTATTAGCCCCTTTTTCATGGCTTCAAAGACTGAGATCTTTCCACCAGTGTATGGATCCTTGTAGCCAACAACAGCCCTCTCAGCTAAAAGCATTTTGTTGTGCAGTTCTGGGCCAATCAGTCCTTCCTTGACAGCTGCATTAACAGAAAGTTTCTGGTTCTTAATTGGTTCTAACATGTAACCTGTGGCTGCTTGTGCTTCAAGAAGGATCATGGCTGTGCCGGGAGTAATTTTCTTCTCTTTTGATGCTTGATAGATTGACATTTTTTGATTGGAGGGTGTCAAAACACCACCAATGGCATTCTTTCCTTTGAGAATGTTTCTTAGACTGTCAGTCTTGCCTAACTCTTCAACAGTGGTTTCACCATTTTTCAGTTTATCAAACTCCTTCTTTGGTAAGACACCAAGCTCATGAAGTCTGCTTGCAGGTACTTTGTCACGGATGCCATCAAAAGCCAACAGATCTGGCTTTTTGTCTATACCATCTACCACATCACCAACATTCTGACCATTGTAAACTGTCTTTGTTGTCTCAATCGTTGTTAGATGGATAACATCTTTGTGACGGACAGTTTCCCTAGTGTGCTGATCTTTTTGAGCATCCTCAAGCTGCTGTAGCTTCTCACGCAGTTTCTGGTTCTCTTCTGCCAGAATCCTTTCCTGCTCTAGTCTCTGCCTCTCGAGTTCTTGCATTTCTTTTTGCTTTCTAAGCATTTCTTCCTCAGCCTCTTTCTGTTTACTAAGGGCTGCATCCATGGTAGCCTGGAGTGTCTTTTTCTCCTGCTCCATCTGCTGTTTCTGGCGTTCCTGTTCATCTTTGAGAGCCTTGGCCTTTTTCACTTCCTCTTCAAACTGGCTCTCAAGCCTCTTTTTCTCATCTTCAATGAGTTTCTCTTTCTTTAATAGCATCTCCTTTTCTGTCATGAATGTCTGCTGGAGGACTGTCTTCTCATGCTCAATTTTTTTCTGCTGTGCATCAGCCATCTGATGGAAAAAAAAAAACATAAAAAGATAAGTTACAATATGTTCATAGCTGTGGCACCGAACTACGTTTTTTATTTTTATTTTGTTCTGTTTAATAATTGCAACAAATTTATACAATGCACTCTGCTTATGCTAATGGCGCAAAATACTAAATGAAATTATAATGTGAACATGTGTGCGTTCCTGTTTTTTCATGATTATGTTATCATTTTTTAGCCAGTCGTCTTCTTCTATCTATTTTTAGTTACCATTTTAATAAGATTATGTAAAAACTGTTGTCACTTCATATTAGCATAGCTAAACCTGAATCTAATGTCTGATACACATTTTGTTGTAACCTGTTACCCCTGGTCATGTGTATCCACTAGAACTCCCACTGTTGTTCAAAAGTTTGGGGTCCCTAAGAGATGCTTTTGTTTTTACAGAAACGATGTGTTAGCTCTGATCTAATTTTTTTTTTTTTATCTCATTCATCTCATTTAAAGAACACTAAAACTGAACTGAAAAATGTTAATCATATTTAATTATTATTGATATCATACCAATTGTTTTAATGGAAAGATTTTTAATAGAAAATCTGCATGGGTGTCTAGGGGGCCATAGAGGCTGAACCTGTTGGGGGGAATTAAAAAGTAATACATTGACCTGAGCAACAGCCTTTGAGATTTTGATTCAAGTTTCAAAAAAGAACTTGGTGGCCTCGGGATTTCATATCTGCTTTTTGTAAATGATGTGGTTTTGTTGGCTGTATTGACCTTGCGCTAAGGTACTTTGCAGCCAAGTGTGAAGCAGCTGGGAAGACAATTAGCACCCCAAAGTTCGAAACTATAGCTTTTGGCTATAGCCGCATATACTGCTACTGTACTAATATGTGCAGGTTTACACTTTTTTCCCCTTGGAAACAGCATGCCATTTCAGAGCAAAGAGAGGTAGCTACAGGAGATTCAACATGTTTTTGAAAAAATGTTGAATTCGTCTGTTAGAATTTGTTTTTGACATTTTGGAGTTTGAGAGAGCCATTCTAAGGATTAATCTGACATATTTATGTCATAACAAATGCGCGAGCATAAAAATGATCTGAGCAAATAATTTCATTGCAGGTAAATTCCTCGCATTTAAATTCAGCAACCCACAGACGTAGAACTTAGTAGCTGCACCCACAAAAGGTACCATTGTGTGTGTAAGAGTGTCTGCTTTGCACATGCTTCTACAGTTTTACAGACAACAGTGCAGAGGCTTCAGAACCTTCCTTAGAACCCTCTGGTTTAAAATATTTCTTCAACATTAAAGTAATACAGTGACAGTTGTCAGTGTTTCCACTACTACATTGCAAACAGTAACTGCTGATAATTAACCCTCTGTGGTCGACGGATGTGCCGACATGTCCAAAACACATGACCAATTTAAGCAACTAATAGCAACAAGATACAGCCACACTGTGTCTCCATTTAAACTTGTGTTGAAAGTGTGGACTTCAACTTATATGCCAGTTTTTAAATTGTGTTGATAGGGTTAGGGTTGTTGAATCTCCTGTAGCTGCCCCTCTTTGAATTGGCATGCTGTTTCCAGGGAGAAAAATAAGTGTAAACCTGGACTCACAAAGCATTATTTTTGTCACATTACTTGACTTGTTGTACAATGTGACTTTCTGATTTGTGCAAAGCTCTCGCATGCAAGACGGCTTCTTTATGCACGCGACTGAGTTCTACTTGACAGGTTGTTGAATTTAAACGTGAGGAATTTAATTGCGCTTGTGAAATAAAATTATTTGGTCTGATTATTTTTTTGCTCGCGCTTTTGTTATAATATAAATATAATTTCACACAAGTGAAGCACAGAATTGCATTATTACATATAACACTGAAATCTGTGTATAACAACTGACCTCTAGAATCTATCCAAATGCTGGCAATGCTCTTTTATTTTTCTCAAAGCTTTGTGATGCTACTTGTACTTATCAAAGTCAGTATTAGATATTCCACTGCCAGTCATGAAACTGACACAGTGCTTCTAAGTTGGGTCACAGTGGCAGCAGGCTAAGCAGAGTATTCCAGAGATCCTCGTCAGCGCAGTCGCCCTACGAAGAAAACTCATTTCGCCCCCTTGTATTCGCAACCTTACTCCCTTGGTGATTACCCAGATTTCATGACCATAGGTGAGGGGGCTTTAAAAATATTACAAAAAATACTCCTACTAATTGGAGTAAACAATGTAAACTCATAAAATATACCTGACAAAACTATAATTCCAAAACAACATCGGTTTGTTCTTGGTGACTGCTGTTAAAAAAAGTAACACGGTATATGGGAAATATGTTTAACAAACTTAATGTGGATTATTAAGCAATCAGTTAGTTTGTTATCAAGTTATTATGGTAGCTTTTTAAATAGATAATACAATTATTAGGATACTGGGCTTTTGGTGGTAATAATGACAAAGCGACCAATCTTGCTAACTATAGGGAATTTCTATAGATATTGCAATATCATTATTATTGTGAGGTTTTCTTTTGGGAGGGGGGCTTGAAAAACTATTATTATGACTGGACATACAGGGCTCCATATATTAAGTCAGCTCTATGGCAGATGTACTCTTGGCCTGCAGTGGCAACACAGTATTCACAATGAAGGCTATACTGTCCCTCGAGTTAGTGTAGATCTTCTCTATTTCCCTCTGTTGCTCAAATTGCTGAACAGTTCACCTGGTTTTTGAACTGTATTTATAATAATGTTTGTTTTTAATTTTGTCACAAGCTAAGGGATAAATGAGTTTTGAAACTGAAAGAAAAAATGAAGCATGTCAACATTGCATGATACGGCTGCACATTCAGGTTGTTTTCTGCATGAGCACAGTGCACTGTGAAAAAAATTAAATCATATTCAGTAAAAAATATGGTGATATGATTAGTGTAAGGAAGGAACAGAGGAAACTTTAAGAATGAAGTGAGTTAGCTTTTTGATAGAGTTAACAATGACATAAGCTGCTCTGTTATGCCATTTTTGACACAATACCTCTTTAGACTTATTTTGACGTTCTTCAGCCTCCTTTTTCAGTCTAGCCTTCTCGTTCTCTAGGTCTGCAATAGCTTTGCGTAAATCATCGGACTCTTTGCTGGTATTTAGTCTCTCAAATTCCAGTCTTTCCACTACAGTCATTTTTTCTTGGGTAGCAATTTCAGTCTCGTGAAGACGGGCAGCAACTGTATCGGCTTGTTTCTTGAATTTTTTAGCCTCTTCTTCAGCTCTGGCCTGGGCTTCACTGAGCTGAGAAACCTGAAGTCTGAGTCTTTCAGCTTCAGCCATGATCTCCAATTGCCTTTTTCGCTCTACTTCCAGTGACTTGTGATATTCCTCGGATTCCTCCTCCAGGCGCTGCTGCATTAACTGTTTATCCTCCAGCAGCTTCTGAGCCTGCTCCTGAGCCAAGTCCTTCTGCTTCTGGAGCATTTCTGCTTCAGCCTTGAGTCGAGATGCTTCTTGAATTGCTTGCATTTTCTCTTTGAGCATCTTTTCCGCAAGTGCCCGTTGCTGATTAAGGTCATCTTCTGCAATTTGTCTCAAGCGTGCAGCCTCTTGCGCTTCCACACTAAGCCTAGCAGCGTCCTCTGCAAGCTTTCTCATGTTCTCAGCCTCTTCAGCAAGCAGTTTTTGTGTGCTGTCTTTGTCCTTCTTAATCAGACGCTGATTTTCCTCCTCAATTTTATTTTTCAGTTTGAGCAGTTCCTCCATCTGGACCTTGACTTTGAACAGCTCCTCCTCCACCTGGCCCCTTTGTTTGACGGCATCGTCGACCTCGTCTTTGAGGCGCTGGAGTTCTTCATCTAGGACAGATTTTTGCTTATCAGTTTCATCAAGCCTCAGCTTAACCTTTGTGAGCTCTTGCTCCACTTGGAACTTCTGTTTTAACGTTTGCTCGGCCAGCTTTTTGTGCTTTGCCATTTCAGCGTCAGCTTGCTGCTTCTGCATGAGCGCTGCAGCCTCAGCTTGGGCTCGTTTGGCAGCTTCAAATTCAGCTTCCTTCCTCAGTCGCTCGGCATCTTCCTGAGCCTTGGCTTGGTTTGCGGCTTCTTCCTCAGCAGCTGCTTTCTGCCGTTCTGCCTCCTCTGCTTGCTGACGAAGGAGAGCTGCCTCTCTTTCTGCTTTCTCCTTAGCAGCTTCGGCCTCTTTGGCCAGCTTCTTGGCTTTCTCATACTCTTCCTTGAGCTTCTTCTGCGTGATGCTGTCTTCTATCTGTTGGGCAAGGACGCTTTGAACCTGTTGCTCTGCTGCACTGCATTTGTGGGCTGCCTGTTGGGCCACAACAATCTGTTTTTCAGCTTCTTTGTCAGCCTCATCTTTCTGCTTTCTGGCTTCTTCTGCTTTCTTCCTCAGCCGTTCAAGCTCTTCTAGGGCTGCCTTACGCTGCCTGGCGGCCTCTTCCTCTGCAGCAGCAATCTTCTTCACCTTTTCCTCTGCTTCCCTCCTCCTCTTCTCCTCCTCAAGGGCAAGCTTCCTTAGTTTCTCTGCTTCCTCTTCGGCTCTGATCTTGCTTTGGTGGGTTTCGTCTGCAATGTTTTTCAGCTTGTTCAGTTCCAGCTCCAGATCCAGTTTTCCAGATGAGGCCTTTTCAAAGTTGAGTTTAAGAATCCGGATTTCTTCTTCGACAATTCGCCTCTGTTTGAGTGTGTCATCCACTATGGCTTTCTGTCTTTCCATTTCTGCCTCAGAGGATTTTTTGAGTTGCACAATCTTTTCCTCAATCTCTTGCTTGTGCTGGTTGGCCTGGTCTTCAAGAGCTTTCCTCTGGTAAGCCTCATCCTCAGCTTGCCTCCGGAGTCTCTCATTTTCTGCCTCCTTCTCTTTCAGGGCAATTTCGGCCTCTGTTTTTAAGCGAGTGGCCTCACTGATCGCAGCCAGCTTCTCTTTGAGAATTCTCTCAGCTTCTGCCCTCTGACGAGCTGCCTCTTCCTCAGCAATCTGCCTCTGATGCTTAGCCTCCTCTGAAATGGCTCTAAGCCTGCTTGCCTCCTCAGCAAGGTCCTTCATCTTGGCAGCTTCTGCCTCAAGTAGTTGCTTGCTCTTCTCTGTATTAGACATGGACTCCTTTTCTGCCTTAGTCTTCAGCTGAATGAGGATATCCATTTCACTCCTAACTTTGGCCAGCTCATCTTCTAGCTGCTTCCTTTGTTGCTGAGCTGCAGCGACTTCATTCTTCAGGCGGTAAAGTTCATCTTCAAGGAGGGATCTCTGCTGTTCTGCGTTGTCAAAGTCCGCCCTGAGTCGAATGAGCTCCTGCTCGGCAGTGAGTTTCTGCTGGGCTGTGCTGTCGGCTATCTTCCTCTGCCTCTCAAGCTCTTCTTCAGCCATTTCTTTCTGCTTCAGGGCTGACTCCTCGGCTTTGGCTCTCTTTTTAGCCTCACGCTCTGCCTCCTCCTTTTGTTTCTCAGCTTCCTCTTGAGCGAGGGTCTTTTTGTGAGCTTCTTCTTCGGCCTGCAACCTCAGACGAAGAGCCTCATTAGCCTTCTGCCTCCATTTCTCGAGCTCTTTTTCAGCCTCTTCTCTGGAATTTTCTGCGTCTTCCTGTTGTTTCTTGAGGCGTTCTGCTTCCTGTTGCAGCTGAAGGACAGCACCATGCTCCTGCTTGAGTGATTCCTCCAACTTTGAGGTCTTTTCCGCAAATGACATGTGCTTGCTCTGGAGTTCAGCTGCAGCACTTTGCTGTGCAGCCTCATGAGCGACCTTGATTTGTTTTTCCTTTTCAATCTCTGCTTGCTTCACTTGTCTTTCAGCCTCCTCGGCCTGCATCCTGAGGTTTTCAAGGTCCTCCAGAGCTTTTTGCTTTTGTTTAGCAGCTTCCTTCTCTGCCTCAGATTTGCGCTTGAGTTCCTCCTCAGCCTGGCGCTTTTTCTGTGTCTCTTCACTTACTTGTTTACGGAGCTTCTCAGCCTCATCTTGGGCAAGCTTTCTGAGTTTTTCTGCTTCAGCCGCTCTATCGCGAAGCTGCTGGAGCTCAGATTCGGCGGTATACTTTTGTTTTTGTGTTATCTCGAGTTGGATCCTGATGAGGCGGATTTCCTCTTCGATCTTAGTCCGGCTGTGAAGCGCTTCATCTACCTGTTGACTTTTGTCCTTGATTTGCTGCTCTGAGAGATTTTTGAGCTCCTGCAGCTCCAGCTGGATGTTGGTCTTTTGCTTCTCTGCATCTACAGCAGCAATTTCTCTCTTGCTTACTTCTTCCTGCATTTTGAGCTTCAGCTCTTGAGCCTCTTTCTCAGCTTTGGCAATAGCCTTTGCGTGAGCTTCAGCTAACTGCTTCTGTTTGTCTAACTCTGCCTGCATCTCGGCCATTTTTTTCCGCTCTTCTGCTTTGAGTTTCTCTGCAGCTTTCTGCATTAGTGGAAGCAAATGGTAAAGAAAGGATTATAATCAAGCATGACAGGTTAAAGGTAATACATCACATTTGACCTGCTCGAAGCAGTGTGAATTAAAATTGTAAGTACTGTGGTAAACACAGCCAAAACACACACTGCAACAAGCATCTAAATGTACTGTATTACCCAGGCAATGTTAATGTTAAAATTAGCTTAGTAAAAGATCATTCACTAGTTGCAAATTAGATGCACATTCATCAAAGTCATGTTAAATTCACGATGCAAGTAAAACGATTCAGATGGCAGTGGATCTATTAATGTATGGGAACAAAATATCACTTCACAACACAGCAAGAAAAACATGGCATGCGACTGTAGCTGTAACTGAACTATGTCAATCTTTGCCATAAAATTGGATCAATTAAACTGTTTAAATTAGCACTATAAATGGATTTACCACACTCATGAATAGAATTTATGGCGAGCTTCTAATGCTCATGTTTCCTGCATTTGAAAGTTTGTGAGAAAACTTAAGTGAGGTTTGTTGAAATAGTTTAATGTTACAAATCACCACTCTTTTTTTTAATCTCATCCCATGCACTGGGGGTTCTTTAAATCACTATTTGTGACAAAATGGAGAAAGCAAAGGCGAAGTCAATGATAAGAGGCTCAAGTCAACCCAGTGTATATTAGGAAGCTCGCTTATGGCTGTGTTAATTTCAGGAAAAGTTGTAAATTTACAGGATGAGCTGTTAGTAAGAATATTAGTGACTTTGAGACAGTATGAATGGCTGCAGTGTTTATATAAAGAATGGAGTGAAAAAAATGTCCGATGGAGTTTGACAGAGACAAAGGATGATGAAAGTAATAGGGTCGGTAGGTACCCCGAAAACACTGAATAATTTACCTCTTTAATGCACAGGTTAAGCATTCATCATGGCAAAGCACTGGCAAGCAGTTAAGAGAGGCAAAGAAGGAAACAAAACATCAGGGTTAGAAAATAATGTAACACTTTAAAGTTGTGTTACTGTGGAAAAAGAAAGAGAGCTGAAGACCATGATAACCAGGTTGAACCTTAGATCAGAACTTTGGGTTTGACCTCGGGAATTAATGCGAAGGAAGAAAAAGGAAGCTTGAAAGAAAGAAAGAGTGAAAGAAAGAACCCCTCGTTCTAAGTCTATAAATGACACAACACACAGAATGGATGGAAATGGAGAACCTAACACTCCAACTTAACAAATCTACTTTCATACTGCATCCACGTGGGTGAATGAGCTTTATACACTGTTTGTTTTCTGGTATTTTTAATAACCTTAAATACCATTTTAACTAATCCCTATTAGATATTAGCCTTACGTGTGTATTTCACTAGAAAAAATATCAGCTACAGCAGGCCAATGTTTCACGCATAACCAGTGTAAAGAATCTATTTGTCACCTGTACATTAAATATAATGTATATATGGGTTTGTGTGTGCATAAAACACACAAAGAAAAGTGCGTGCTTGCATGCCTGTGGTTCAGTGACTGGCAATTTCTCATCTGTGTTGGTTAGATGTCAGTTTGATTGGTTTGTTAGGTTAATGTTAGATAGAATTTAGTTTGTTTGGGATCCTCGGCCAGTTGTCACGCACCTCGTCGTCGTCCAGGCGGCGCTGCGTGTCTGTGATGAACTTGATGTACTGACTAGTCAGAGTCATCAGTTCGCTGTACCGGGTCCTCAGTGTTACATACTGATACAGGAGAGAAAAAAATAACATTTAGAAATGCAACAGCTTCAGGAATATTGTTTTCACAGGGTCAGTGGTTAGTGGTAGAGTTAACCTTCAATTAAAAAAAAAAAAAAAATTACCTTTTTTCTGTAATGATTTCCAGTACTCATAAACTCACCTCCTGAATAATGTTGTCAGAAGCTGAATCCAGTTTGGTTTTCTTGAGGGGCGAGACAAGAGGTTCCACCTGAGCTTTGTAGGCAACCAGTTGGAGTTCATAGTCCTATTAGCATGAAACACATTACAAGTTATTTCAGTAAATGCTCTAAACTGCAAGAATTATCAAAAAATATGCAGAATAGTGTTATTTCAGGCTCGCCTTGATAGTATCAATGTATGCTTTAGCGTATTTTTGACACTCATCAACTTTGTCTTTGTTCTGTTCGATCTCCTCCAGCAGTTTCTGTGTTGAAAGGAAAAGGGTTCAAATAAAAGTTAATCTCAGCAGTTTCACTCGAAAATAAAGCAAATAATGGTGCTAATATTAGATCGTTGAACATACTTTCTCCTGGGCAAGTTGCTCCTTCAGCGTTTTGCTGTCGGTGATAGGCACAGCCTGAATCTTCTCCTGTCTTTGCTTAGCATCGGCAATCCAGCGGATTAGCCAATCATAGCTCTCACGATAGTAACCGAGCTGGCGGCCGAGCTGCTCTAGCTCTCTCTGGCGAAGGTCGATCTGGGTGAACACGGCCTTCCAACGATCCTGGAGGCTGGACAGCTGCTGGCGGAAGTGGTCGAGCTCAACGTCGCGCTCGCTGTGCACACGAGCCATCTTGTCGCTCACAGCAGAGGCTTTTTTCAGTTCTTCTTCCAGGGAATCAAACACTGGCTGTTCACCCTCAGCTTCAGTGCGCATTTTCTGCAAGTTTTGTACAAAGAACACCAATAAACAGTCTGTAAATACATCAGAACCGGGCAAACCTACTATTAAAAGTGTGACTTCTATTTCTTAAACAGAATCAATTGAGAATAGTTCTTTGTAACATAAGTAAGATTTCTGTAAAAAGAGGCTTGGCAAGAAAATAAGTCATGTATTGTTTACCTTAAGCTTTGCTCTGTAAGTCTCTACTTCCTTGACATCACTGGGCACAGTGTGAACTTCACGCAGACAGTCCTCATACTGCTTGAGAACGCCTTCAGCACCCTGTGTGTTGCGGATGACCATTTCCACAGTCTTTAGCCTGAGACAAGGAGCAATAAATTAATTAAGGAGATCTAAGTGCACTAGAAAACAGCACATTTTCTCTTTGCAGTCAGTTTTTAGGGACTTACTTCTCAAGATAAACAGAGGAAAGAATGTGGGCATGATCCATCTTCTGTACAGTGAGGTCGAGCTCTGACCGCAGCACAGGAGCTGAGGTGGAAGGCTGAGGGGAGGCCAAGACTTCTTGTGTCTTAACAGACACCTTATCAAGGTCCTTCTTAAGGCTGTCAAGTTCTCCCTGAACTTTCTGTACAACAGAGAAGACAAGCATGAAGAACAAAGAAAAACCCAAAAAAAATCCAAGCCAGCCGACTATGAACAACTGAAAGAAAAAAAGGAACATTTAAAATTTTTATTAAACTAAGCTCGAGGAGAGCAGGAACCAGAGGCACATGGCAAGTTTTCTGCCATCGTTAACAATTTAACCCCATTTTTATGTGTCAACCAAACTCAAATAACTCAAAACTTTTATTTTTGCACAAAGCCCTAAGCTGAACTTCACCTACTAGCAGGGCTGTACAGCTGCTGGATTGACGCCAGCATCCCAGCTCTCATTGAATTACATATAAGCTGTTAAGCACTTAAATTGATTTTAATTCTCTGCTGTGTTTCCAGATTTTAAACCTACTGCAACGATTCATTAATTCAACCCCCACTCCATCCTTCTGCATGGATTCTGGTTCAGTTAGCTACTTTTGCTTCTCATCAATAACACATTTAGTCAACTATCCAACAAACCTATCCGTCTTTTAACCACAGCACAGCTATTTTTGGTTTCATTTGATGCCTCATTGCCATTTCTGCACAGAACACATTTAAATTTGAGCTCTGTACCTTCTGCTCTGTGGTCTTCTGAATACACTCTTTGAGAGGCTCTTTTTCCACAGGTTTGCGAATGCGTGCCACAGTACCAGCCTCGCAGTCCTCTATACGCAGACGCAGGTCCTTCAGCTCAGAGATGTAGTTCTTACACAGAGTCTCATTCTGTTGACCTGTGAACACATTTGTATTAGTTTAGAATCGTAGGAATAGAAAAGATCATCCGTTTTGAAAAGGCTATATTTGAATTTCCCAACTCTGGGACTAATAAAGACTATCTTATCTTTTACAGTAATATCCAGTACATAGAAGGACGTAGAAGTTTGCTGTCAATTTTAAAATACATTGCTAAATATAAAGTTTTACATTAAAAAAAGTGTTCACAAGTGTCCAATGTGTCCCTCTCTGGATGCACAGCATATGTCCATCCGATAGTCAAACTCATCCCATACTTTTGCATGAATGTCGAGTCGCAAAAGTCACTGCTGTTGTTACGCTACCTACCAGCAACCAAGTGAAACTCCCGTATCCGCCCTTTCTAACAGTACGCGTTTGGATCATTACCCGTGAATGGCTGTGAAATTAAAGCACTCTGAAATTGAACTATTCTTGTTAGTATGAAACATTCAATTCAATTTTAATATGACACATCCTAAGATGTCATGTCCACAAATAGATAATGCTGTACTGCTGCACTGTAATGTTTTCGATCACCTGTGTCGTGTCACACCTTCCATGCAGTTCTTCATATATGATGTGTAAAATACACGCAGCTCCAGCCATATCTATAGCATACACAACATATGCACTACCCAAGTACCTAAAATCAGAACACATATTCTACTTGGTGCAGAGCTGCCACAAAGAAAATGCATATTGAAAATCAAAGCAACATGCACTCACACATGACTAAAGACAAACACGTGTTTTGGGACATTCCATCAAAGGCTGGAAGGCGTGTACACATATTAGTTTGGTGAGCAGTAGTTTGTGCTTGCTTTAAGTCACTCACCTTTAACCCTAACAACCATTATTCCTGAAAGGTGAATTGACAATTATATACTGTTCAGTTGCTACACACTTGACCTCGGTAAAACTATGAATCATTAAAATCAGTTTGTTAAAATCAGATCTCACCTTTCTCCATGGAGCGAAGCAGGTTGTCGAAATGCTGGGTGGACTTGGTGTAGTCGTCCTCAACCTGCATGCGGTCATCGGGGCCGAAGAGCTGCGAGTCCTGGCTGTCATGCATGAAGTCCTGGTAGTGAAGCTCCAGATTCCGCATGATCAGCCTGTACTCTTCTGGCTTCATGGTCTTTAACTGCACACAATGAAGAGAAGCAGTGGAGGAATTAGGAGACAGGACTTAGCGCAATGTCGTCAAAGCACAAACAAGGCCCCTTTTATCGTCAGCTACACCAAACTTGGTACACACTGAAATGGAATTTCCATTTCCAAACATGGAATGAACCACAATGAAGTTCCCCTCTTTGTCAGCTCTAAAAGTTTTAGGTGATACTTTTACTTTAGTACCAACCAATGTTCCCTCTAATTTTTCACGTGTCTGAGTGAACACACAAACTCTCTGAGCGATCCCTTGGACCACTGTGAGCGACATCAGACGTGTGCACTGTGGTCACGCCGGCATCTAATCCATCCAAGTTACATGGTTTATTAAAATTATCAAATTACAGCATTTATGTTAGACTACTTTTAATTAACTGCTTTAGCCCACTTGCAATGAAAATGTAAAAAAAAATCTAGTCATTGACCTGTGTAGTATGTTAACACTATTGGAAGTAAAAATAACTTGAACTCCAATTTTGAAAACACAACTTTCTTTCTTTTTAAAGTAACTCAGTTTGGCAAACAAAGTTTTTTGCAGCTATTTTTTTTTTAAATGCAGCCAAGGCGTTTTTTTAAATAAACATTTCAAACTATTTTTAGAACAATCAGCTGTTCTGCATCAAATCTGATGCCACACAAATTATTTGTGCCACTCCAAAAAAATAATTTCTGTCCACTATGAGATAAAGGAGAACAACAGCCTGATACCTGCAGGCCTGACAACAGGAGATGTATCACTGCTGTAACACCTGTAACATTCAGCAGTCGCCTCATTGTTCTGACGCACACAACAAAAACTACAGTACACACTAACTACACAAGATTTGCGCTAAACGTCTCAAATCTCTCACATCTCAAAGCACCACCGTCACTCCTAAAACTTCCCCCCGTTTCTTAACAACTAGATGCCACGTTGCCATATCATTTTTTGATTGGTCGACATGGTACTTTTTTGGACGAATAGGAAAGGGAGAGGGGGTGGAGTTTGTTTTTGCTCACAGGCTTTCAAGCCTTTTTTCTTATAAAACGCCATTTTTACCGTTTATTCCCGCAGTAAATATAAACAACAATAGTATTCAGGAACAAACAAACAAAGATTGCATATATTTTTATCATAACTCTGGTTTTACGTGGCCTATCAACACATTTTAAAAACTGGTATAAAGTCCACACTTTTTCCGTCAATTGTTCCGTCTGTCCTGCTCACATCTCCAATGGTTGTACACGTTGTCATTAACGTGGCTTCACTCCACATCAGCCACGCCGCTTTGCTAGCTAAAACACCGGCGTCGACGCTGTCATAGCCTGTCAACCACGTTGATTAGCTGCGTATATACGAATGTAAATCGCATCATTTGCTGGACTATGGGATAAGGTGGCATCGTTCTAATCCCATATGGGAACAGCCAGTTACTTACTGACTAACACTGCAAAACAGAATTGTTAAAGTATTCATTTTAATTTCAATTCAGGTTAGATTTTTGTTGTGCGCAACACAGATTTTCTCTGCACAGAGACTGTGCCAGCAGTGCACAATTGCGCACGTGCGCAGCTTAGAGGGAACATTGGTACCAACCATTGTGATGTTCCAGGAGCGTATCTGTGTGAAGTCTCTCATCAGGTACTGCCATGACAGTAGACTCTTCATGTTTATATGGAGCATCTGCCACATGGACACCATTCCCTGATGACCTGCATCCAGACTACAGTAGGACAATATTGTGCATTATGGGAACAAAAGAAAAAACAAATTAAATAATTGACATGATCAAGCCAAGATGTCGTCGTCACATAGGGGTTCAATTTTATAGCCACACCTGGACACACCGTCCACAGCCTCCTTGTTGACAGGAGGTACAATGAAGCAGACAGAAGGCACCATCGCCTCGTGTCCAGAACGGTTCAAGACCTTCCACTTGAAGGGCTGAGAGTTGTTGAGGAGTGCACACTCATCTCCTTTGTGGACAGTGATCTGAAAAGAAGCCAGGATATATTAAAGTAGATGTAGTCTCAGGATCTGTGGCAATCATGATCACAATGGTGAATGATTAAGCATTTCCACAGTGGAAATAATCCAACCTCCTGCTGTTTGAAGTCACAGACAGCCTGAATGGGCAGTTTGCCTTTGATGGAAGTGGTGGGGTTTCGTGGTTTCAGCTGGATGATTGACCTGGATCTCTTGTTCAGGCCGGCCACCACAGTCTTGAATTCATTCAGCTGTTCTTTCTCTTCCTGTTGAAAAGAAGATTAAACTAGATTACAGTAAAAGAAAGCAGACCCCTTGATGCTTTTATTAAAGTGTGTGTGCGGTACGATGCATTTGAACATGTACATACCGCAGCATCCTGCAGCAGATCCTCTAGGCGTGTGGCTGTTGTAGAGCGATCACAGCTGTATTTCTTTTTCATGTTCTCTTGCATTTTCTTCATCTTATCCTGAGCCTCTTTAACGTCGGCAAAGAACTGTAAAGAAGGAGATCACATGAGGCGGACAATATTCCTGACTCTATGAATATGAGGGATGATTATCCTGGAGATTTATATTCCTAAATGTCTGTGTTCCAGACCTGGTAGTAGGCTGTGTTTTCTTTGAGATGAGCCTCTATACAGCAGCACAGCTGGAGGATCCAGCTCCACTGAGTCTGCAGGGCAGCTGTGAAGGACTGGTAGAGATCAAGAAGATATGACAATGACAGTGCATTAGTTTGGACACATTTAGGTCTATATTCTGCATGCAGATGTCTTCTGCTCAGCTGGATTAACTACTGCAATTACCTCAACGGTCTTCTTGCCTGGATGTCCATCCCTGACAAGTCTGTCTCCCAAAGTCTGGATGTCATTGACCTTCTTCTCCCTCAGCTCCAGTTCTCGCATGAGACCCTGAAGAATTGAACAGATGTAGTTGAAAATCTGCTTATTTGTTGAACATCTGTCAGTGAATCTACAGGGCAGGATTAGGGGATAAAAATGAGCAACTGTGAAATTTTAGATTTGGTTCTACTTCTTAAACGCACCGAGTAATTGTCTTTCTTTGCTGTCATGTTAGTGTTCCTGTCACTCCAGTCAAAGTTGACCTCTTCCTCTTCTTTGTCATTCAACCACATCAGCTCTTTAGTAGCAGCGCTGACAAAGGCATGCAGTGATTCCAGATTTCTTAGGCGGAACTTGGAAGAGTTCTGAAAAAAAGAAGAAGGAATATTTACAGCTGATTAAAGATCCATAGCTTATATTTATAGCTTCAACCTTTTGTGCTGAGTGATTAAAATCTGAAATCAGATTATTTATGAATATTTACCAGTAGTTTGCCATACTGAAGGTCCAGTTTTCCCAGGTATTCTCTGTATGTGGCCTTGCTGACAGGAGATAATTGGGTCTATTGTATATGAAAACCACAAAATGACATTAGGAAATAGGGAACCACTTTTATACATACTTAAAATCCGTATGTAGACTTTTTAGTGGTCCGATAGAAACACTACCTCATCAGCCTTAGCCCGTTCGATTTTGGATTTGAAGTCCTCCACGGTCTGATGCAAGCCTCTGTGGCTGCCCAGCTGGGACTCCATCGAAGGCAGATCAGATCCCCACTCTGCGTTATCGATGCGGCGCTGGTTCTCCTCCACCCAGGCCAAGAGATCTTGAACATAACGCAAGGTTACGTCATCCAACTCGGGCCGTCCCTTCACGGAGGTCTGCTGGACGCTCTGGGTAATTGGGACCTGGGCAGTAGTCACGGCAGACTTCAGACGAAGATTGTAGTCGGTGCGCAAATTCACCAAGCGCTCATGGAGGCGGTAAACTCTGTCAATGAAAAATAAAAACACAGACACACACAAGTACAGACAGACAGTAGTTAGTTGACAATGCCCTTGCTTTTTCAGCTTTCTATTTTGAAAGTTCACTTAAATTCAGCACACACACAGCACTCACCTGCGGTACATCTGTTCAGCCTGAGGGTGGCGCCCATCCTTGAGTACCTGCACGTCATTGAAGAGCAGGCGAATGACATTGTCTGCCTTGTCCAGCTCCCTCTCCACCTCTGCTGCGTGCTGAGCTGGTTTCCCTGCGTTCAGCAGACGGATGTCCTGGAGGAAAGGAAGCCAATTAAAGTATTAATCTTAGCCTTGTTCTTAGTTGGTCATGCACATCAGGATACAAAAAATGCTAATGACAGTGACTGGAAAATGCATTCCTGTGATTTTTTCTTTCCCTTTGTACACTAATCACTCGGTTTCTGGATTTCATGTCAGTTTGTCAACTCATACTGCAGTAACACATAGCAGTTTAACTCACCGTCTGCAGCAGGGTCTCCAGGTGGGCAAGCTGCTCATCACACATTCCTGACTCCTTCTGGACTTTACCACAAATCCTCTGAAGTCTCTCGAGTCTGGATATGATCAGAGCAATCAAATTAAATCAAGAGGAAAATGGATAAACTGTCCTCCCCATTATTTAATAGCTAAACGCCCATCGTGCAACACACGCCAGAGCTCACAACAAAACCTTCACAACACTTACGGGACCCTGCGTTGCAGCAGATACTCCAGTTTGTGAGGGTCAGTCACAAAAGCCATATCGCATTTCTTCTCAACAGATTTCAATTCAAGCTATGAAAACGTTGGCTCTTCTTGGCTCTCACACGCCCATTACTCTGCCACGTACGTGCCCAGAGGGGGACAAAAATGCCTTTCTTACAAAGAAGTCCGGTCAGTCCATTCAGTCATTCCACATCCCAGAGAACTCCATAAACAAGGCTGCGAGACTGCAACATGACGGGGCTGTCTTGTGACAAGAAGCCATCCCATTTTGTCCCAAGCGTGACACAACGCTGTTCTAAGTACACAAAAATGTACAATTTTCTCATACCTAATTATGTCTTTATGTGCGTCCAGTTATGGGGAACACAACCCTTTTATCTCATTATAGAGCAACCCACAAATGCAGAAAAATACTCTTAGAATGTTTTAGCTACCAGAAAAGAACAAATGTGCTAAATAATTTGGCTACCCGAGAGGGGGAAAATGAAGGCAATTATTTATTTAACCATTCAAATATTAATAGATAATGAATAAAATGCAACTGGATATTATTTTGCCATTCCCCAATGAACATAACTGGCTAATTTAATAAAGCTAAAGACAGGCAACAGGCTCGCTGCCTTTTGTCAATTATCATGAAATGCCTTTGATAAAACTGTGTCTTTGTGTTTTAAATGGATTTAGTTTACTAGCCTATGATCATCTGTTTATTCCAGTTGAAAATATGCCCCTTACCAGAATTTCATGTTAGCTTAGCTCTTTTCCCAAAGTTAACTATGAAGAGTTAAACTCTTTATTGTTTTTGGAAAAACAAATGCGTATCATGTGTTTTATTTATAACTTGGTATATTTGTGCATTATTCCCAGTAAGGTTGACAATTATATCACCACCTTATTAAATATGGCTCTCAAGGGATTTTTCTTTTGCAGTTTGTTGTTAGCACAGCAGTCCTTGCTAAAGAAAAACTGATGCAATTCAATCTTGATCACAATCGTCATATGTCTTATAAATCTGTCCCAACCTCTCAAACTCGATCCTGAGGAGTCGTTCTCTCTCAAGAATGGCCACGTGGAGTCGACCCCACTCCTTCTCCACATCAATGGGATGGTAGCCTGGAGGGACTTTGACCTGACCAGCATGCACTGCACTCTGTATATGGAAGTAGAAAGCATTTAGTTGTGAAGCGTTGGTATAACAGTGCTGAAGGAACGGAACAGAATTCAACTTATTAAATTAAATGATTGTTGGTTAACTTGCCTCAAAGGACTGGTAGATGTGTTTGGAGCGGCTCTTATCCGTCTCTTTCACTGGCAGCTCTGTCTCTTTGAACTTCAAGAACTGGCGCCAAAGAAGCTTAAGGGGAAAAAAAAGAAACACAAAGAAATTGTTTATTTTTAAATTAGATTTCCCTTTATTCATTCTAATAATTTTATAGACCTCAAATTATCTATAAAAGTTCCTGGTATTTTTTTTTTAAATCAGAATTGTCAGATGGTAAAACCCTAATTATATGAGTATGAATACAATAAAGTAACACATCCTGTGACAGTTCTGTGACCAGCAGTGGGGTGAAACAGTATTCACACATTCCTGTGACCACAATAAACTCATTTAGCCTCGGAAATCTTTCTGCCCCAAAGTGTCTAAATGAATTTGATTGAGTATATTCAAAAAGAACACCCTAGCCTGCTACTTTTAATACAAATATTCTACTAATACAGAATAGTAGAATATTATTCTACTATTCTGTTCAAAGAAATGTAGAAAAATACTAAAGTCACGCTATGCTTTTGTAAAGGGAATGCTGACAGGGAGTGGTGATTCTCCCGAGGATTAACTTAAGCATTATCTGCCTTATGGCTGTCTTTTCTCAGCTCCAGCACTGCCCCACCTTCAGTACAACAATGCTTGTGAGTATAGTTGTCTCTATCTGCCTACAGCCAGACATTATGTAAGCATGTCCTTTGATCCAATAATGGATGGCTGCAAACGTATTCCCATTTTTGACACAGGTGCTATGTTTTAATTGTTTCTTAAGAACATGATGAGAACTTATCGGTGTGTCTTTCGATATTGCTCAACTGCAAACATGCCTGCAACAAAATCCCTGGCCTAGAGACAAAATAAGCGCATATCCTTAGCATATCGTCTCACCTCTATCTCCTCGTAGCTGGCAGGAAACTTCCTCTCTTCGAAGATCATGACATGGTGACGGATCCACTGGAGCAGAACAGTCACCAGCTCGTAGTACTCCTGCCAGCGCAGCTCCAGCTCCTGCAGCCAGCACAGCAGAAAAGATAGCTGCGAGTTTAACAACAAGAAACAGGAGGGCTCTTCTCCTGCATCTCCATTTTAGTTCACTCACACACAACCCTAAACTCAATTAGGTGGCAACAATCCAGGTCTTATGCGAGTAGACAAAGAAGCAGAGGCTAGAGGAGAGGTTGTTAAAGTGTGGACTGCTGAATGAGGAAAGTGGGAGAAATAATAAGTGGGGCCAGACAGAGAGGAGCATGGTTTTTTTTTTAGGTTTTTTCGGATTTCATGTACGTGGGGTCATAGCCACGCCTGTGAGGACAGTAATGTGAAAAGAAAAAGTCCTCAGATGTATTCAATATTCACTATAACACAGCTCAACTTTAAACTCTGGACACTGAATCAAGTAAACGAGTTTGTGCGTGTGCGGAAGCTACATGTTTTTCTATAAACAGACAATGGGTGACAATAAATGTTCAAATCCTCACTGTCTTGGTAGCTGTAAACACCACAGGTTGTTCATTTCCTGTGATACTTACTTTCACAAGACTTCAATTTGTCTTTGAAGCATTAACAGGATAAGAATAAAACTGACTACAAAAGCTAAGTTTAGGCACAGTCACAAGCTTCTTCAGTCCTGATTAAATCTGATAGAGCATTCCATCAGATCAAATTAAAGTGCGCGTTCATGTTGCAACGCTTTATTTTTTTATTTCACTGTCTCCATGTTTTCCTTACGTTGGTTCTCATGCCGTCGTGTACATCAGTGCGAGGCATGGCATCATACAGGGAGGACACGTAAGTGATGATGGATTTCTCATCTGGGTGTGGGACATCAACATCTGAAAGGATATGGTAAATTTATGTGATGTGACATAGTCACATAGTTTGTGAGTAACAGAATTACTTCAGCTGAAATCGGTCTTAAAAAAAAAAGAAAAAAAAAAAGGTTGTCTGTGTCTGTTTGAACACATTTTTGAACACTTTTACCTTCAGGGTCCAGCAGGCGGGTCACACCCAAATCTTTCTCAGCCACACTGAAGGCTTGTTCTAGATTCTCCAGGTTGGTCTGTTGATACACTTTGCCCATGTTGATGAGTCTGGGACTACGGAACACAAAAATGCAACTGATTACCCACAAGGCCACAAGGCCCGCGAGTCCAATGTTCAGAATAACTCCCAATAACATTTGATTCTATATCCTAACGTGTAATAACATCAGACTTCTCAAAAGCACTGGTTTTGAGAAGTCCCCAGTGGGTAAGTAGGATGTTGTCTTCAAAAAAGCTGCATTTGAAAGGACTAGAAACGCTTCCAGCTTGGCGCACATATAAAATGACACCACCAATGCCTCAACTCAGAGGAAAATGATAGGAAGATAAATATCACACCTGAATGCATTTGCAGAATTAATGCAGTCTCTGCCAGCACGTTTCATAAACATGACCCCAATACAGCATATTAGCAGTAGAACCTCTTAGATCAGGGGTGTCAAACATAAAGCCCGGGGGCCAGAATCGGCCTAGCAAAGACTCCAGTCTGGCCCACTGGACAGCTTTAGAAAATGTTAAGTGGGGCATAGATTCCACAGTAAACATATTCATGTGAATGAATGAAAACTTTATATTTGATAATAAAAGCACAGTCAGAGCAATGAACTACCAGAATATTTTCTGTAGTTTTACACATTTATCATGTAGTTTCACTGGGCCGGCCCACTTTGGACCAATGTGGGCTATGTGTGGTCCACGGTGTAATATGAGTTTAGCGCCCCTGTCTTAGACCCTCTGCCTGTGGCTGAATGCTGTAGGAGAGCCCGCCTGTTCAGTTTCTGACAGAGCTGCATGAGCACCTGCCTTTTTGTCCTCAGGGTGTTTGACGCTTTCTGGCAGATGTCAGAGCATCTATAGGTGGAATGTAATTTACAGAGCAGCTAACATAATCAAAGCTGACACAAGTTAGGCTGGCAACCAGCCGCAGCTTCACTCCCACAAGAGGCAAAAGTTCAAATTTCCAGAGTGCAGAGCAGGATGATTGAATGCCTCGCCTTATCTCCTTATCTATCATGCACGCAATCCCCATTACAAAATTTTCAATCGGCAGTTTTAAAGACATTTCCAAATCTACAAATTCGAACGTGCAAGCAAAAGAGAGTATATGCAGATACATACAAATCTCTCATCGTTAGAGTGGAATGGTCCCCATTGTATCTGTACACAGGAGAAGACACAGCATGACGGATTTCTCGAACAGAGTATTGTTTTATTGGCGTTGGTGGACTGCTCATGCTCTGACCCCCTCTTCCGTGAAAGCTTCGGGACCTCCATCCATGCCCCAATTCTTCGCTGCTTGAGCGGGCCCCTGAGCTATTAGAGCCCCGTCCTGAGTCCCAGGAAGATCCCTCTGATGGGATATCCTCACACAACATGACCACCCTGTTGTCCACATCGCTGACACTTTCTGACAAGTTCCTGATGAAGCCCAGGCTTCCCTTCTTCTTTTTAGACTTCTTCCTCACACTGAGCATTTTAACACCAACAAGAAGGTCCAAAAGCTGTATCGACTGTAGTTAACAGGTGCGTTAATTTGAGCAAATCTTTTTTAAGGCTTGCCCATTGCATGTAAATGCATCCTGGCATTGTCTCAGGTGTCCATCATCTTCAGAGGATCTGCTTAATCCTTTAGCTGTGATCCCTGCTCGAATTCTTTGCCCTGAAACCTAACTTCAGCTGCGTCTCTGCAAATCCACGCTGGAAATCATCACACATGTGCAGAAAACCTGGAAAATCTTGAATTCGCCGGATGAATGACAGTTCGACAGTAGATTACTCTGAGTTATGCCTCAGCACCAAGTAACGTTACACTTTTCATGTAGCAGACACAGAGTGCTACAGTTACGCCCACACACCACACCCCTGACCTGCATGAAAGGCAGCAATGAGCCAGCCTCAGCAGCCTCCTACAAAAAGAAAAAAAACAAACAGTGCAGGTACGAGCTGAAGTTCAAGAAAACTTGCCCCTGCAAGAGTCTTTTCTCTTTTCTTTTCTAATAATGGATCTAAAGAAATACACCTCTGTCTTATGAAATGTAGCTTTTGTCCCATTTGTACTCTGGAATTATGTATGAATACCGTCATTTTAGGACCAACAAAATACTTCACTTCATTTGCGGATATCCTGAGAAATGCACGCATGTTCAATTCCCAGGATAATAACACACAAAGCACCCACTAATTCTACTAAGAAGACCCACAACAGATTTGTGGGATGTAGCATATTTAGGCTTCAACAAAAAGAGCTTTGGATTTAGCTTTTCAAACTTAGGTTCCCAACAATTTAACAAGCCAGCTGCATTTAACGCAGGAATTACCATCTTATAACGCAGCCAAAGGAGGCACAGAGTTACTCGGGGCCAACACCTACCAGTGGTATTCTAAGCCTTAAGGCTTGGAATCTGCATGAAGGCTCTTTATTGAAGCAGCATGAGCATGTGCACAGTCAGGTGCGGAAAAGTATCTATAAGAGGCATTTTTAAAGGGAGATCGTGGCAAAAATAGTCCAACTGTATCACTGAGTTCAAACAAAGTAAATACGTTTGCAGCTATGCACAGTATGTTGAGGCTCTGTATGGAAGGAGCTATATGATGTGACTTATTGTCTCTTAGTTAAAATAAATCAGCCATAGTAGCTTTTAACAGCCACTTGTGCTTATCATGTCTAAAAAAATTCTTTCTGTCAATGCTGAGGCCGAGTTTAATTACAGTGCAGGCTTAAACTGGCACTATAAAGTGTAATTTGACATCTGAAAGCGTTCCAACGTCACACTCCTGCTCCAGTGCACTCTATACTGAATAAAACTTATGGATGGATGGTTGTGTGTCATGACAAGACCGTGCAAAAAAGCTATGAGAAAGTGCTCCATTCTGGAGACAATGCTATTATGTCAGTCTTAAATATGTTAAGTCTTGTTATGTTGGCAGTGCAGGCTTGGAACAGGGTCGGTACAGGGACCTGCAGCGGGCTTTTCAGTTTGTTCTATGTAATACTAGCATATTTGTTGCCATTGGCGTTGGGCTTATTTTCCATCAAAAAAAACTGTGCACACTCACTAGTGCTTGTGTATGACAGCATTGAAGAGTTTGCCATCCCTCCAGCTGGTGGTGAAGTTGTCACAGCGGATGCCCTGGTAGCCATCTGTCATCCTCTGAGACCAGAGCAGCAGCTTCTCCTTGGCCGTCATGTCTTCTGACTGGCCGTTGACCTGAATATCTGAGATCTGTAACAGTTTCATGCAAAAGAGCGTTAACACTTGTGGAAGACAGAGAGGATTTGTGGCTAACGCAAGGAATGTGGAAGCAATCCATCATTAGTGGAAACCCAAAAGATGCAGTTTAAAGTGGACCTATTACGCTTTTCTTAAATATAGCTGTTTTCGAGAGGCAGCCAATCAGAAGAAAGCTGGTTTAAAAGAAACTTTAGTGGAATTCAAGTTAAAAAATGGAACTGAAAATAGTCACAATAGGTCCAGTTTAAACAGAATTGCTCAACACCACCTTAATTGACACCTTAGTCATTTCACCTTTAATATCTTTCATGGCTGAGAACAGAGTGTCTGTGTTTCACAGGAGGTAGTCGAGTTTTGCCTGACCGATTGCTGGAAAACACCACTGTGTCTGTGGCATCTGGATAACGTTTCATTTGGGGATTTTGATGGTAGGAAAGATGAGTCATAGCAGTCTTGGTTTTTCTCTTTTTTTCCAATTTAACTGAGGGTAAATGAAGTGTAAATGGGCGAGCTAAACTCAGATTCTTCTCTTCTAATAGCTCTGTTCTACAGCTGTGATAACACTTTGAGTATTCAATTCAGTAAAAAAACAAAAATAAGAAAATAAAAAGTATAAAGCCATCATTACTTCATTACTAAAACTCACCCCATTACTGTATCTCGAGACTGGCAATTAAATCTGCAATTAAAATCATCCTCCAAAGATTTCTTGGATCAAACCATCTTCTTTCCTTTGTGATCAAGTTAATTTAGGATAATCGGATCAGATTTGTGGGGAGTAGTTTTTCTCTTCCCTTTTAGTCTGGAGCCTTTATGACTCATCAGCAGCCACAGCCCAGCTCTCTTATTTTGCCTCTATTGTATAAAAGTATAAAGACTCTGGGAACGCAGTGTGTATCTAGAGGGCACAATACTATCTTTACCAGAATGCCATAATCAAACCACGCCACTCTCACCTTTTTTTCCCCTCTCTGCTTAGCTTCAGCTTTCTGCAATCAAAACCTCAACCATTTTTATATGACTGAGGGTGAGGCCGTGACTATTAGGCTATCACCCAGGGATTTCTGCCTGGCAGCTTTTGGCGTACACAGGAAAGGCAGAAAGAAAGGCCTGGAGAGTATGTGGTAGGGCGTGGAGGATGCCATCAAGCTGTGCACTCCAACCTGACACGCCCTCCCCCTGGGAGTCAGGGAGAGATTGACTCACACTAACACACCCTGACAGTGTTATATTTGTTTAAACGGTTCATATTAGCTACTAAACTCTAAATACCTGACTAAAGTTTTTATGTTAAAATAATACTTCTATGAGGAATATGATTTAATGAGAGCAATTGATTTAAAAAAAGTCCTTTATGAGAGGTTTTGAAGAGCAGAGTCCCCTCTGATTGGCTCCAAGGAGATGGGAAGCAGCAGCCGAGAGGTTCAAATCCCAGAGACAGAGGTAGACAGCAATAATATAATGAAACATAACACTGACAGAAGAGGAGACCTGGAAGTGGAGGATGATGGTCCATATTAACCCCAGGGTCAACTTAGGGTTCCCATCAGCTATGTCATCGTTTCTGATGTTAACCAGTTTGACCTAAGAAAGCAAAACACTCACGTTACTTGCAGGATTACAGCTGAAACTATCAGTCATCTTCTAACGATTGATATTCGCAGTCTGGTTTTTAAGGGTTTGATGTATCGTTATACATATCATACCTGCCGATGTCTGAGGAAGTCCAGTGCTATCTGTACATTCTGAAGTTTGTGGAATCGCATGCGGCCTTTCTCTCTAGGCTGAAGAGGTGAAAGAACAGATAAAGAAGTGTTTAGTTACATTGCAGACACTCAGTACTCAGTGCTACTGCCATTAGAAAGGACCAATAGCAACCAATAAAAAACAAAAAATGTATGATGTAAAAATCAAAATGAAAATGAAAAACATTTAATAGAGAGATGAAATTGTTCTCCTTTCTCCGTCTTAGTCCTTTAGTTTACCAGAGAAACAAAAAAATAAACTTATGGGAAATTTGCATTAGCTAAGCCAAATTTAAGCCATCTGTCAGGAAGCAAATATATAATCATGTTGCGTGGCTTGTTTCTTGGCTTCTCAAACAGAAATCAAGGAGAAATTCTCAAACAAACAGAAATCAAACTAAATATTTTCTTGTATACGTTCACAGCAGCTACATGATGAAAGCAAGCCTGTCAGCACAAGAAACAAAAAAGTCCAAGCAACAGAACTCATCATGGCTTGAAGTTCGTGGATACCATGCGCAGCCAAAGAACCGGAAAAGTGCCGATAAATCATTAAAACAAAAACATAATGCCTACTGTAAGTTCCAAACCCACTCACCAACCGAACGCTCCTGGCCATGTCTCTCTCCCTCGGCTAGCCCCAGCAAGAGCAGTGCAAAGGAGAGGAGGCGAAGGCCAGACGGCAATGATCAGCACACACAGAGGAAGGTTAAAGGAAGGCAAACAGGAGAAGGAGGAGCAGAAAAGAAGAACCGTCGATCAGATAGGAGCACAGTTCACAAACACGCACACAGTCCAAAGTGGTAGCAATGTGTTATAGCTATGGATGCATTGTGAAAATGAGCAGAGCTGAAGCCGGTGGAGGGCAGCAGCAGCAGAAAAGCTTTGTGTACAATTTTCAACCCCAGGATATGAAATACATAAGCATTACGCAAAACAAAGAGAGAAGTAGAAGAAAGTAATTAAAATATATCGAGTGAAATAGGAAGAAGAGGACGGTACACTGAAAAGGAAGTTAAGAGGTGTTTGCTTAGCGTAGTTCAGCTCAGGTTAAGCTCTTGACTGACAACTTGGCTGCTAATATTTTACATTTTGTTGCCACAGGGGTGGCATTCCAGGTCGACCTCATTAAAGTAATCCTTGTGTAGTTAGTCAGGATTAGGTTTGGGTTTGGATGCTGGAGGACTGCTAAAGAATAACTGACAAAAATCAAGAGACTGTACTCACCAGTGTTTCTCCAGAGAGGACCTCCAACAGCGAGATCAGGTTATGTCCATCTCGAAGGTCTTCATACAGGTCTGTCACATGACGCTGTGACTGTCACGGTGGGGAAAAAAGGAAAACACAGCAGAGAATATGTCAAAAGGATTCATGATGATACAACTTGGAATAACCTGTTCCATGTGAGATTTGCAAACTCAAATTGTGGTGCAGTTTGCTGAAAGCTGACGGCTTAAAACACCTGAAGAGTCACATACTGTAAGTTCTCTACAGTGCTTTGAGCACAATTCTACACATGTCAAGAATGCATAGCCACGAGCAGCCAAGCCCGACTGCCGGCAGCTGGCAGCCTGACACATGATGAATAGGACTTTAAATAAAATAAGAGACCATCAAGGGTTAGAAAAAATGATTTAACCTTTTGGATTTCAGTTAACTGAATTCATTGTTTATGCAACAGATGCGCTGTGCTTTTGCAACCAGACAACAAAACAAGTGAGGGAAAGCAAAAGAGACAAGGGAAAGATGTGATGGTGCACAAACATGAGGGAGGGGAGACAGCCTCCATGCAGTGAGATACTGACCAGCTACATATTTACTGCCAGCACCTACCTCTACCCTCGAATGCTGGTGGTAGAGAAGAGAAGAGATGATATGAGTAATGGGGAAAAAGGAAAGGATAGAAACAAGAGAACGAGAAAAGCGTATGAACAGAAATTAAGTGATAATTGGACTTTGGAGGATTTGATGGTGGACATGATGAAAAAACTGATGAAAAACAGAATAATTAAAGTACTCTCTTTTTTCGTAGTCTGCAGATATATTGGTCTACTGGGTGTGTGTTTTCCATGTGGGAAATGGGCCTCAGCCCTAAAATGGAATGAAGGCATATTTTCCCTTGCAAGTTGCAACAGTGACTGATTTATCTTGGCAAGAATTTCCGCACCTTCCTACCATCCATCTATCCATCTTATGATATGCTCCTCCCTGCCTGCAGAGAGAGATGATTAAGCGAAGTGCACCACAGAGCTAAATTTAGGGAAGGGAACCAACACTGCTGCCACTAGAGTTCACTGTTTGCACAATAAAAGCTCTTCTACTTTTTAGGATGGGCCATATTGTTAAAGTCTGCACCCTCTGAAACTGTCTGTCAGGGCTCTCTCCAATCAGATCAGTACCTGTTTACACAATTAAACGATGATGATCCGGTCTTTCTTTGTCAAGTAATGAATGCTGTGATTTGTCCTCTACCTTGCTGAATCTAGCACAGCCATCTATCGCCACTCCTCGGTTACTTTGTCCTGCTGCTGAAAGTTTAGTAGGCAAACTGCAGCCTCGGCAGTAAAAAGGAGCTGCTTTCAAGGACAAAGTCATTAGTGCACATGCCTTACACCGGTCCCTCCAATGGTCTGTGAGCCACTGTCTGGAAGCAACATGCTTAACATGCCTCAGGTTTTATATCATCTTGTGGAGTTCCTCTCATTTTCTTTATCCTTTTCCTGATAACCATCCTTACAGGGTAGCCTTGATGTGCAACAGTTCAAGGTTCTAGACCTCATCACAAGCAATTTGTAGGCATCTACTAGAAAACAGATGTTCATCCCATAGCTGGTTTGATGTTTCACTCGTCTTACGCAAGATGAAGAGATTTATTGAGCTAGGTGGGGTGGAGGGCATAACACTCAATGGCCCTTTACAGCTCTTCATGGTTGCACCCAACCTCCAGCCTATCCCACTCAACCATTAAGCCATTAAATCAGTTTAACAGCGGTTTAACCTCACTAGAGCAGATCAGCACATTCGCACACATACTTTAACGCTTTCCCTCCCAAACGTGTGCATTTGCTTCAGTGAGGTTCTTTACTATGGGCTGTACGTGGTGATAACGCTTCTTTTTTTGCTGCTAATAAACACGGACTCAAACTTTTCTATTAGAATACTGATATAATTCGAATATATACGGATTCATGTTGTCATCCTGAGAAAATAAGTGTTATCTAATGAGCACCTCTCCTTTAACTACACTCGCTTTCAAGTCATGGCAGAAAGTAGTCTGCAGAAAAAGCAACAGACTGAAACTGTACCTGGAAAGGGCACAAACAAATTCTTAAATTCATGTAGTGTTGCAGTATGCGGGTAACTGTAACAATAACTGGATGGGAGTACTTATGAAACTCCCCATGCATCAATGCATGCCTTTCAGTTTAAGGCGTGCACTGATGCCAGTACAGCCACCCCTACCGAGCAGGCTGTGCAGCACATGTGCTACCGTTGGCCTAACCCACCATGGGCTCTGAGCCCAGACCAGAATTTGCCTCTTCAGAGGGAGCTAAGTGAGTCCAGATGTCTGTGACTCACCCTCGAATATTCACAGTGGACACTTAAGAGAAACAAGAGGGAGGAACTGAACTAGGTTCTCATGCAGTGGTAAAAGAAACCATAGCTCTGCACGTTTATGGAAAGGATAACACTTTCTTTGTGCTCATTTGTTTCCTCTTTCTTGTTCCATTAAAAAAAAGAAAGAATGGGCCTTATGTCTGGAGTGGAGCACTTAATGGTTGTAAATGTAGTGCTGCCAATTGGAGTTTTCTGGAAGAAAAGTGGCACAAGCAGGAATATTTTTAGCACTCTGGGAGAGCGGTATTGCGTTACACGGGGCTAATATGTCAACCTTAATATGGAGGTCTGAAATGAGTACTATAGTCCTTTTGACTTGACTCGCCTCCTGACCTGTTCACGTGAGCCTTCGGGCCATATTTTGCGAATAGAGAGTGAGACACAGTTGAGATTTGAAGAGTGCTGATGGACGGCTTACACAGTCTCTCAGCTGATGACAGATGAGACTTCTGGTAAGCCTTCCGATCGCGGTGCCGTGTTAGCACGAAACAAAAAACTGTCTAGCTAATGTATGTTTATGCAAGAAGGGAGGGGGTGAGGGTCGCGGTGGCGGTGTTGGTAATGATTTCTGCAGAGATGTTAACAATGAACACACGCTGACACTCGTTCAGCTGCTGTAAGATTTTGCTGTTATGTGGTTCTTTGTTCACCTGAGTTTGTGATCTTTAAATTGGCACAAATCTTACAGACTGCTGGAGCTCTGTGTGGATTCGACATGTTCCCCCTGTGCCTGACTGAGCTCTCTACAGGTACTCATTCTTCCAACCGCAGTACAAAAACACACATGTTGGCTTGGCTTGGTGCATAAGTCTGAATGTTCTTCTCTGTGCTAGCCTTATAACAGCTGCAATAGGCTCCAGCAACCCTGAATTGTAAAAGCAGTTATATAAATGGATGAATGGAAGAATGCATGGAGTGACGTATGTAATGATCATACGTGGACATAATCCCAGAATACATGAGTTGCAACATTTATACAGCTTTATTCAACAGCCTCCTGTTGTTAAATGAGGGTCAGGGCAATCACTCACTATGCAAACATCTGCAGTTTGACACTGACAAAAGCTATGCTTGTTGCGACAGAAAACACCCGTACACGTGTTTGAACAAAAGGGAAATTTGTTGACACTCTTCTGTGACGTCCACACTTATGTTTCTCCCTCTTTGTACCTTAAGTCATGCTATGGATTGAGCGAGTGTGCGTACAAAAACTTGACCGTCAATGTTGCCTTAGTTACAACACAGAGAAAACCCAGAATAGGTCCTCACCTTTATCAAGTGCTTGTTCACCCACTTTGTGAAGGTCTTTTTCTGGACTCGGTCTCGTTCATCTGCAACACAGAAAGAGCACAGTTAAACATCGGACTCGTAAGACGAGGAAAAGCTAAAACTAATTTCAAAATGAGTAGCATCAGGTGTGCGATTAATGTGTTTCTTGAGTGCATTTCCAGCAGCACGCTAAGGAGGAAATCCCCAAGACTGACTGACAAGACTATTTTTTCCTCCTGTAGAATAAACACAACTCATCTCTGGGTGGAGAACGGCTCTTGTGCTCCTGTTCAAGCCTGCATCTGAGTCAGGGAACATTTGAGACCATTCACTGTCTGTAGATGCACTTCTGTTGTCTAGAACACAGGTTTGTAAGGTCATGTCTCACTCTATGACACCACTGGCAGCTGTGCTCTTAAGACGTAAACAAAAAGGAAAGGATCGAGGCTGCAGGAGTGAAATATTATTAAAGTGTGAAGATACTTGGGCGTGATAACCGTGCGACATAATAGCATAACTATTAGTCTGCAATTATCCGACAAGAAAGAACAAGGCCTAGGCATGGAATTCACCCTCTAACAAAACAAACCTTCATACTCCCTCTTATTCCTGTTCAGTTCAGGTTTAAATAAAAAAAAAAAAAAAAGAAAACATACACACCTACACAAACACAAAAAGGTGTGCCACTACAATCATTTATTATGGACGCGGTAGATAGATGAGTCTGTTTGCTTTCACGTTACCCCACGTGATCTAAAAGTTGTGGTTTACTCAACTGTTCAGACAGGTTCAGGAAGTGCACCACCCAACTTCACTGACCCACTCAGCAATTCCTTCAGATTATGCTAGAATGTCCCACAGACATACCACAAAATCTTATCAGTTTTAATGGGAGTGACCCATCCACCCATATATGTTGACACGCCCAGCAATGAAAAGCAAAGGGTAGTGATTCAGTGCTAACATAAAATAGATGCCCAGAGGCTACCTTTTTTTCCTCTTTAGAGGAAGTTGCCAGCAACTTCTGGACAACTCTGTTATGGAACTGAGTTGCCATGGAAACATCATACTGAGACCACCAGACCTTTAAGCCTGCGTATTTTTCATCTGTACCAGCATTGGAGATAGTTCCATAAACTATCTCCACGCTCATACTTCCTGTCAAAGATGCAAAATTCCACATAAATAGGAAGTGTTACGAGTTGCACCTTGACCTGTGATTGGCTGTGCCCTGTTTTACCTTTTATAATGAAATTACAACTCTTTTCATGTGCTTTTAGAAAGTAAAGGTGAAGGTGAAATTTTCACATGTCACCACACATAAACATGCTTGATTGAGGGGTGGAGTTTATGGTCCAGAAGAGCATATGACTATAATAGAAAACACTCTGTGGAAAAACTACATTTACTGAACTATAATTAACGGTACTTGAAGATGCTTTAACTACATTTCAGAAGAAAATATTTTATCTTCTTTTTATATTTGCAGGTAATAGCACTTTAAGATACATTTTAACACATAGTCAGTGTATACTAGCGTATACTCTGCAAAGGCTCAGTAAAACTGTAAACGGTAAAACAATAGTGTAAGAAACGCTTTTATTTTGATATGTCATTGAAAATAAATATAAAATGTAGTAAGATTTGGTATTAGTACGTGACTGAATTGATATTTTTACTTGAGTAAAACGTAAAATGATCAGTATCCTTGAAGTTCAAGGCTTGGTAGCCTTTATATGAGGACATGCGCAGGATGAAGCAAGGCTTTTACTGAGAAATGACTTTGTGGAAACTTTCAAAAATATCCATCTTCACAGGAATAAAGAACAATTTGAAGGAGAAACAGGAAAAAGAAATGTGATGCATGGAGTGACACATCGTTCATTTTGGCTGCAACCGAGGAGAAACAGTCTGTAGCTGGAGTGACTCACCCCCCCCAACAAAAAACAACAAAAAAAACACATCAAGCACGCCACACAGCAAAAGTTGTGAATGGGCTCTGCTGACCAATGTGAAATGAGGAAGCTGCTGATGGAAGGAAAGAGTGGACAGCACAGCCCAGCCTGACTAACTGCCACTGGATGTGAAATAATATGCAGCACATGATGCATGCCTGCCACTACAATAAAAGCAAACAATAAGCAGCAAAATAAAAAGATTATCATCTGGCATGCACGCAACGTTTAAAAAAAAAAAAAAAAAAGTTTCACACAAAGCTTTTCAAGCTCTCGCAGACAAAACGTCTGCAACGGGAACTCTGCCCAGTTTGGGAAATTAACTACACGTCTCACCCCTTCCTGGAAAAATACACTTAATTTGTGCCCAGAGGCTCCTCACACATGTGGGAACAAACAGATCAAGACTTGCAATTCAGCTATTTTACACTAAGTGCCACCATACTGGTACCTTTCCTGCCGTCCGTGGCCTTCAGCATCCCTTGGTAGTAGCCGTCATCTGAAGGCACCCTCTCCCTGCCAAAGCTGTCAGAGGAGAAATTCCTGTACCTCTGCTGCTGAGAGGTCATTGTCGCCGTTTGTCAGGGCACAAAATAATATTCCTAAATGATAAAATATCCGTGGTGATCTTTGACAGGAACTTTTGCTTTTTACTTGTATCTATCCCTCCAGCACTACAGTTGGTCCCAGAGTAGGCAGTCCTGTGGCCACAATCCACTCAGCGTTTCACAAACCTATGATTTTTTTTCTCTTCTTCTTCTTCTTTTCCTCTCTTAACCTCCTCGCTCCCTCACTGGGTTCGGCTCTGCCCTTCTCTTTCCTCCCTATGTGGTTTTTTTTCACTCCCTTTTTTCCTCTTTTTCTGCTGCTCACTCTGTTCCCGCGGATGGTGCCTGTGGGCTATGACGTCTGGGCCTGTCCTTATGTGTGATGTGCAACTGTGCATTAGCGGTGGCCCTAGTGTGTAGAGGACACTCTACACACTAGTAAGGTTTGTGGGTGGGGCTCTAAACACACGCCTACCTCTTGCAATGTGAGGCAGAAAAAGAAGAAGAAGTAGGAGAGGCGAGGTGTGGCAACCTGCATGTACTATTACTTATTCACCCAACTTGCGCAAGAAAAGACACACGCACATGCACACACACCAGCTGAGTAAGAGGACGCAATAAAGAGCCATAAAAACTGATGCTCATGACCTTTTATGCTTGAGAGTGAATTAAATTTTATTTAAATGACTAAAATGTCCAACAAGAGCCTAAAAAGTAAAAGAGAATTTTCTGAGTATCGCACACACATCTCCGGTTAATCATTATTTATGATTCATGCTGTCAGTCACTGTGATGTAAAAACAGTAGAGATGAGGGATGAAATAGTTTTGAGAAATGCTCTCATAAAGCACGCCCTAAACATCTCAGATTTACTGAGAGATTATGACTCCATGTTTGAATGTGCCTGTGCGTGTAATTATTTTCTTTTTCACTACTGATGACGGAAAAATACATCCTTTTGTTTATTTAAGTCTCCATGTAGAGCATGAAGTGCTGTCAAGTGTTGTATTTCACACTTCTAATCAAACAACATGTCTGTCTTTTCAATTCTATTTCAGGAATCAAAAAGGTTTTTTGTGTGTGTGTGTGTGTGTGTGTGTGTGTGTGTGTGTGTG